TCCACCCTGAGCTTGCTTTGCTTTGCTTGACTGGTCTTGTGACCCCTTGTCCTCCCCCAATTTGCCTATGGGGGTGTGTCAGATTTATATGACTTAGCTGCTGTAGGCTATAGTGGGGTAGCACATATGGGGTACAGCTTTCTAGGGTTTGCACTTGTACCCAACTTTCCCTTAGTCTTTTCATTCCTCGTTCATTTTCACAACGCCATCCTCCAGGATGTATGGGTTGACACCTTTACTCCTGGAGGTCAGCGTGTGGCGATCTGCACATGCGCCAAGACAGGCCGTCACCTGGCTACGTTCACACGGCAGCCGGGGTCGAACCTGTACACACTCACCACAGCGTCTGCACAGGTAGCTGCGTCTAGTCAGGTGGCTGCGTCTGGTCAGCTCGCTGCGTCCTGCTCGTGTCGCCTCCTCACCCACCCTGTGCAGCTTTGGCACCACCGTCTTGGCCACCCGTCGCAGCTGCGTCTGCGCGGCATGCACTCCCGGCTCCCGGTCTCTGGCCTCCCTGAGACCCTGCCCCCCCTCCCGCGCTCGCTTGCGCCGCCGTGCCTTCCTTGCGTCGAGGGGCGGCAGCGCGCCGCTCCTCACTCCTCCGAGTTTCCTCCGACCACTGCTCCTCTGCAGACTCTCCACCTGGACGTGTGGGGCCCGGCCCCTGTCGGTGGAACGGACCAGGAGCGCTACTTCCTGCTGGTTGTTGACGACTACACACGCTACACCACCGTCTTCCCCTTGCGTCGCAAGGCGGGCGTCAGTGGTGTTTTGATCCCCTGGATCCGTGCTACTCGTCTTCAGCTGCACGAGCGCTTTCAGCAGGACTTCCCAGTCCTGCGTCTGCACTCTGACAGGGGTGGCGTCCTTGCGACGTTCTGCCAGGATGAGGGCATCGCCCAGTCGTTCACGCTTCCGGCCTCTCCGCAGCAAAATGGGATCGCTGAGCGTCGCATTGGCCTGATCATGGAGGTTGCTCGTACCTCCATGATCCATGCGGCTGCTCCCCATTTCCTGTGGCCGTTTGCGGTCCGATACGCCGCGCATCAGCTCAACCTCTGGCCCCGTGTCTCTGCTCCAGAGACCTCGCCCACACTCCGTTGGACGGGACAGCCTGGTGATGCGTCGTCGTTTCGGGTCTGGGGCGCGCTCTCCCTTGTTCGCGATACCAAAGCGAGCAAGCTCTCTCCTCGCACTCTCCGCTGTGTCTTCCTGGGCTTCCCCACTGACGCTCCACCCTGGCAGTTCTACCACCCTGCCTCGCGTCGTGTTCTGTCCTCTCAGGACGTCACCTTTGACGAGTCGGTCTGTTACTACCGACTTCACCCGCACGCGTCCCACCCGCTCCCCCTCGCACCTCTCTTCCTGGTACCAGTCCCCCCCCCGGTAGACCCCCTTCCCCCACAGGGTCCTGCTCCCTCAGGTGTGTCCCAGGTAGACCCACCCCCCTTGGATGAGCCAGTTGAGATCTCTTCTGACTCCTCTGACTCACCTGAGGGGGGTGACGCCGTCGCCGACGACACGGCGACCACTCGCCACACTCCTCGCTTGGAGACCCCCCCGGGTTTCCCGCCACGGCCGTCTTCGCCGCTTCCGCAGCCTGCTGCTGTGGACTCTGGAGCTGAGACTTCTGGAGCTGGGGCTGGGGGTGGTGAGTCTGGGGGTGCCCGCTCTCCTCGTCTGGCTACCCCCCCCGGGTTCCCACCTCTGCCGTCTTTGCCGCCTCTGCAGCCTGCTGCTGTGGACACTGGAGCAGAGACTGAGGGTACTGAGCCTGGGGGTGCTGGGACTGAGGGTACTGAGCCTGCGAGTGCTGAGACCGAGAGTCCTGACTCTGGGGGTGCTGCGAGTTCGGGTGCTGACTCTGGGGGTGCTGCGAGTTCGGGTGCTGACTCTGGGGGTGCTGCGAGTCCGTCTGGTGTGGGTGTCGTCGGAGCTCCTACCGGAGGACCTGGAGCTACTGGTGCTGGAGGTACTGGAGGTGCTGCTGGTGCTGGAGAGCCTGGGGGTGCTGCTAGTGCTGGAGGTCGTGGAGCTGCTGGTGCTGGAGGTACTGGAGGTGCTACTTGTGCTGGAGGTCGTGGAGCTCCTGGTGCCGGAGGTGCTGCTGGGGCTGGAGGTGCTGGAGGTCCTGGTGGAGCTACTCGAGGTGCTGCTGGTGCTGGAGGTCGGGGAGCTGCTGGTGCTGCTGGTCTTGGAGGTGCTGCTGGTGCTGGAGGTACTGGAGGTGCTGCTGGTGCTGGAGGTCGTGGAGCTGCTGGTGTTGCTGGTACTGGAGGTGCTGCTGGTGCTGGAGGTGCTGGAGCTGCTGGGGCTGGAGGTGCTGGAGGTGCTGGAGGTCCTGGTGGAGCTACTGGTGCTCTTCGCCACCTTCTCAGTCTTCAGCCAGGTGCTACTGGCTTCCCTGTGGCAGGTACTACTGTGTCCACCGGCGGACCAGTCACAGCAACCGCTGCTACCACACTCCCCACTGCCTGCTCCTGCTCCTTACATTGCGGTGTCAGAGTCCCTGACTGAGCGTCGAGAGCCTGAGACTCGTGCTTCCACCCCTGAGCGTCGAGAGCCTGAGTCTAGCTTTGACCTTGAGCCTGAGCCTAGAGCTGCTGTCCGTGCTCGTGTTCCTCGTGTTCGTCGTCAGCGTGCTCCGGTTGTCCCCGGCACTCACAATATGACACTCCGTCCTTCCTCTGTTCCTCAGCGTGTTGTCCTACCGTTACCTCCTGCGTCCTCTCTGCCTGACGTTGCTGACCCTCCGTCTGACCTTGCTCGTGCGTCCAGTCCGACTGTTACTCGCCTTCTTGCTACGGTTGTGACGGACCCTACGTTCTCATCTCCTGCTGCGTCTGCCCTAGTAGCTGAGCTCGTTGACTTTGCTGCTGTGTACCGCCTAGACTACCTTGCGAGTCTTGTCTCTGACCCTGTCCCTGCCTGTCCTCCGTCCGTCGGGGGTGAGACTGCTCTTGGCTGTACTGCCCTTGGCTGTGACGTTCTTGAGGACAGACAGGAGGAGCTGGAGTGCCTTGCTGCCGCTTCACCCCATCACGCGACCATGCTGCTTGCCCCTGAGGGAGACCCGGATGCACTTGACATCCCCACCCCGCGCTCCTACAGGGAGGCGATTTCGGGTGAGTACTCCTCTCAGTGGCAGACAGCCATGGACGCAGAGATGGCTTCCTGGAAGTCCACAGGCACCTACGTCGACGAGGTTCCCCCACCTGGGGCGAACATCGTCAGTGGCATGTGGATTTTCAGGGTGAAGCGGCCGCCGGGTTCTCCGCCTGCCTTCAAGGCACGTTACGTTGCTCGAGGCTTCAGTCAGCGTGAGGGGGTCGACTTCTTTCATACCTTCTCCCCCACCCCGAAGATGACCACTCTTCGGGTGTTGCTACACGTTGCAGCTCAGCGTGACTACGAGCTGCACTCCCTCGACTTCTCGACACGCTTCTTGGGCCGACGACCAGGCGACTCAGCGTTCGTCACAGGGATACACCTTCAGTCTTGGCTCTGGTTCTGTGTCGTGGAGGTCCACTCGTTCTTCTTCTGTGCTTGGCTCCAGCTGTGAGGCCGAGATCTACGCTGGGGCCATGGCTGCACAGGAGCTACGCTGGCTGACCTACCTGCTGACCGACTTGGGGGAGCGGCCTCGTTCCCCTCCAGTTCTGTACGTCGACAACAAGGCAATGCTTGTCTTGTGTCGCGAGCAGAGACTGGAGCACAGAACGAAGCACATTGCTCTTCGCTACTTCCTTGCGCGTGAGCTGCAGCAGCGTGGTCAGCTGCGCCTTGCTTACGTGGCCTCTCGAGCCAACACTGCTGATGTCTTCACCAAGGCCCTTGGGTCTGGTGATCATCAGCGTTTCAGCACTGCTCTTGGGCTTGTGCCCACTCTGCCTCACCTGCTGGTTGCTTGACTTGCTCTTGTTGTACACTGCTATATATCTTTATACCTGCATGTTTACTCTTGCTAGGTTGTGATCTGTGTACTGCCTTGCTATTATAACTCTGCATGTGAACTGGCCTTGTGGCCGCCTGCTTGTGCTCAGATTGTGTGGTGTCCTTGAGATCCACCCTGAGCTTTGCCTTGCTTGTTCTCTTGCTTGTCTGGTCTTGTGACCACTGTTAGGTTTGGCTATCCCCTACTTCACCTATGGGGGTGTGTCAAAACATATATTGTTCTGCATTATTTCACTCTAGGTTGTGTAAGGTTCTTTCCTTAGAGGGTACAACATTTCACTCTCGATAGTCTTGTACCCCCCCCCCCTTACCTAATCGACATTCTCACCTAGCTAGTAATTCTAACATTGTACACCCCCGGGTAGCTTGTGCGGGGTGGGTGTTATAATCGACCTCGTTTGTACTATACCCCCCATTTTGGGGTGATTTTTTATAACACCCCCCTTTTCTTATAGATTCCTATTATAGCTGTTATCGAGTCCGATTCCTTGCGGGAGGATATCGCGAGAATCGCTCCCTAGAAGAAATTTCGCATGTACTTTCACTTAGAATCTGCCGAGATTTCCCCCCTCCCACAATCTCGCTGTCGCCACGCTGGCGAATCTTCCGCTGCAAGTGGTCCAAGAGGTGAAGTGGCCCAAGTGGCCCACGATATCCTCGTACTCGGTTTTGCGGCATTGATCAACAATCTTGAAGTGAAGTCAGACCCCTGATTTTGTTTCACATCTTTTCTGCTTGATAAAAAATATACCATATAATAAGACCCGGGTATTATGTAGGATTTTCCTTGGAGACCCCCCCCCATTTTTTTCCAGTGGTTTTCATAATACCCTAGGGTGTTTTATCCGGGAGAATACGGGTATTAGGGTTATTACTTGTACTACTCACAGACGTTAGTCATTCATTCCTTCTTCATTCAGTTTTTTACAATACCTTTATAGACACGGTTGGAAAGACAATGAGCAGCATATATTTATTTATTTATAACTTGTAAGATATGATAAAACGCGTTCGGTTATCTTGCTGCCACGATTGTCGATCTTCTCTCATCCTTGCTCCTTCTCAAACTGCTGCTGCACTATCAGTCCCAGCAGCGCCTTTTGCAACTCCCTGTCACGCACCTCCTTGCCCAGGGTGTGCCACACATGTCTGATCATTGCTCCCTGCGGCCCTGTCATTTCTAAGTACGGCAGCACCACCACCTGCTCCCGCCATCTCTGCGCCACCAAGTTCATGGGCCTCTGGTCACCGAATTCAGGGAGTATGGCATCATACCACTCCTGTAGAAACTGCCATGTGGTGAAAGAGAAAGGGGGGTTGGTAAGTACAGCAGCAGCGGAAGGCGGGTTTGAGACGTCGCCGAAGGGGAGAGAAGGTGAGGCACGGTAGGGAACAGCAGAGCGAAAAGGTTGCAGGGAATGGGGCAGGAGATAGGTTCTGGCGGGCAATTTGTATCACGTATACAGAACGGGAGCACAGGCTAAGCAGACACAAAACCCCAACCCACAAGATATGCCGCGTGGTGCACTGCACACACCTGAAAGCTATCATTGGAATGGCTCATAAGAATGACTCCCGCGTTGAGGGAGTCAGAGTCCGGGTGGAAGAGATGCTGTGGTTCTCCATCGTACCCCTGCTGCCCATCCCCATTGCGCGGCACCACCATGAACGGCACCTTCTCCTTGCCTCCTGCAGGCAAGCCTGCCTTTTGAGAGGACGCAGAAGGCTGATTGCCTGCAGCAGCTGAGTCTGCATCAGGGGCTGCGGAAGGGACGGGTGTTTGCAGGAGTCTGCGTGAGGCAGAAGGGGCAGCTGTAGAGGAGTTTGTCTCCTGGGAGTTGCCCAGCTTGACTGCTGCTTCCTGGCTCTCATTCTCCTGCGCATCTTCTTGCTGTGGTTTCTGCTGTGCCTGCGCCTGCGCCTGCTGCTGCTGTTGCTGTTGCTGCTGCCAGCAGGTTGCAGGGGCGGGCTGGGAGGTGAGGGTTGCGGGTTGTCCTGGCGTGGCTGTGGGTGGAGCACTTGATCGAACAGGTGCGCATTCACCATCTGCCCTTCCAGGTGCGAGCTCGACTGACCCACCAGGCGATCAAAGTAACCCTGCACACACAAAAACACCATGCCCACCCACCACACCACCACACGCACCGAATCACCGCATCACCACACACCACCGCACTCCACCACGAACACATAGTCCAGCAGAAGAAAGGGAGGTGACTTCTTGGTGGACTCGAGAGCAACAAATGAAGGCATCCTGCAAGGCTTGGGAATGGGAGAAGAGCTGCAGGTGATAGCAGGAGCGTGCAACTGGTGCCCGTGGGTTGGTGCAATGGTTGGTGCGGAGCAGTGTGTTTGAGCTGTGGACAGACAAGGTACTAGTAACTTTGTGGCCTGTGTGTGGAGAGGGAATAGGGCGAGTGTGGCTGGGAGAGGATTGTGGCAGCCAGAGAGTGAAACCGCAGGTTGTAAGGTGGTGCGTGCGAGCGTGCATGCGTGTGTCGCTGAGAGTGGTCACGAGTGGTCGAGAGCGGTTGAGAGGTCGAGAGTGGTTGAGAGCGTTAGAGAGCGGTTGAGAGTGGTTGAGAGTGGTTGAGCAGAGGTCATGAATGGTTGAGAGCAGTTGAGACCGGTTGAGAGCGGTTGATAGCGGTAGAGAGTGGTTGAGTGCGGAGCAGGCTGCCGGAGCTCACCCGCTTGCCGACGCGTGCGGCCCAGTCCTCGACGGAGAGGCGGTGCCCGTCCATGCGCAGGTACGCATCCGAGTCCACGTATAGCGCCCACCGGCAGCAGCACTGCAGCGCGTGCCGCAGCAGCGTCACCTGCACACGCGCCCAGGCGGGGGAGGCAGGGGAGAGGAGGGTGAGTGGGGGGAATCGGAGACGTAGGGGAAGGAGGGCGAGGCGCGGGGAGGGAGCGTGAGCCGGGGGGGGCGGGGGAGACGGGCGGGTGAGGCGGCGGGTGGGACGAGTCTTTAGTCATGTGACATGGCACAGTCGAAGCATCAGAACAGTAGTAGAGAATGGTAGCAGAGCAGTGGTTGTACCTTGTGCCACGTGGCTTTGCGCGAGAGGTTGTAGCCGTCGTAGTAGGAGTCGAAGAAGAGATACCCGTGTCGCTGCGCGTACATCCTGCCACGAAATGCACGGATTTCCGTCATCCCCGCCGCACCCAGTTCCCGATTCCCCAGGAATCATCATCATCATCATCATCATCATCGTCATCGTCGTCGTCGTCGTCGTCGTCGTCGTCGTCGTCGTCGTCGTCGTCATCATCATCATCATTCCCCCGATTCCAAGCGCAACCGCAGGAGGGGAACAGAGAGGAAATTGAAATATTACTACTAGTGGCAGGGTAGTAGGGGTCAGAACATCATTTTGCAAATTTGCAAATAGCGGTCGGACCGCTTTTCGGAGTCCGAAAGGAGAATCAAATTATCGCTTCGACTTTACAAGCCCTCAATCTCGGCTACGACTCGCTGATAGTACGTCGTGGCGCCGCGGTGCTGCTACGACTACCACAAACTTGCAACTTCTCATCCCAATTCTGCTGCTAGTACCGGTCCTCACTTGTTGATGATTCGAGACGACTCGTAGTACGGTAGCTGCGAAAGCCATTCGAAATCATATTCGGCGACGTCCGCGATTCTCCCGACGGCCGCCGCCGCCGCCGCTTCCGCCGCCGCCGCCAGGCCCTTAGCGGCTCCAGGCTTGGCGGCGGCGGTGGCGGCGACGGAACGATTATCTGAGTATAGGATGCACCCGGGCCGCATTTGTGGCGGTACTGCTGCTAGTAAGCGCGCTTGCGGCGAGTCGGGATCCGTCGCAGCTGTGGAAATCGCAGCGGAAGCCGCGTCGCGGCCGCCGCCGCCGCCGCCGACGCCGACGCCGCCGGAGGTGGTTGCTACTACTAAAGCGTCGCAGGGCGACGCGGTTTGCGACAATCGGAGGATTGGCGAGTGGAGGAAGATGAGCGAGGTGAGGAGCAAGGCGGCGAGGAGCAGGTTCTTCTGGTCGTGCCACATGACGGCCATGCCGCGCGGCGTCACGAGCAGCATAGCCGTGGGGCTTCGCGGCGCGACCGTGGCGGCTTGGAGCGATGAGTGAGCTGAGATCATGGGTCTGCTGCTGCTGCTGCGGAACCTCTGGCACTGCGCCACGGCAGAGTAATGGCACGACACGGTACGACACGGCAATACTTCTACAGCCACTGCCAATAGTAGCTGTGGCGCACGTGCTTTCGCGAGAAAGAAGGCGACAAAGTACCTATCCAGAGGAGTCGTCAGGCCGTTTCGCTGTTGAGTAAACGGGGTTCTTGGAGCAAACGACGGCGACTTTACTAGCGAAATTCACAGACTGTTTGAGAGGGGCTTCAGTTGTACCTGTACTGGTAGGAAGCGGCGGCGCCCTATTAGCAGGCCAATAAAGGAGGACGATAAGAGTTGGGATGGGAAGGGAGCAGTGAATTATGGGCGAAGAACCCCTGAAATGTAGGTCCGTCTGAAATGCAAGTCCTCGGAGGACTTCCAGTCAGGAAGGGACCATTTTCAGGTGTCTGCGTCGTCACCTCACCTCACTCGCTCCTGGGATCGCCTGGAGAGAGTTGCGCCTGGGGAAGGTGAAGTGTAGCACCTGGAGAAAGGAAATTGGTGTGTGTGCACGAAGTGCGGCGAGTGGTTTCTCTTTTGCAGCGAAATGGTTGGAAAAAGGAGGACCCAAATCCTCATTGAACGGTCTGAAATACCTGCCCGATTGGGTTACACACCATCAACCACATCATCACACTGGTGGGATGGAAGGTGGTGTGCTGCAAAGGCGTGTCCAGTCCCCACCCAGACTATTCCCACCAATTTGTTTTGTCGCTGTTCGAGCGCTGTTGTATCGGAAATAGTTGTGGCCGAAACCAGGACCTCAACGAACTCGCAACTCTCCCTCTCAGCAGGTGTATACGTACCCACCATCTCGGGGACATGGCATGGCGTTTGGGAGGCAAGGGAACTGAAATGTTTGCAGTTCGAATTCTGCAGCTGCCATATTTCTCTGCCCTGCACATTCCCTCCCTTGCAACTGTCGTACACGGAAGGTCCCCGATTTTGGCGAGTTGACGAAGAGAAAGGGCTGCGTTCGTGAAGGCTGGCAGACGATTGGTTCGTTGTTCCTATTCGCGGTCCGGAACACCTAAGGAGAAGTGCAGTCTGCACACCGCATCAGACAAAGAACAAGTGTTGCCAACTCGGCATGGCGTAATCGACAGAAACTTCCAAACGTGGAACTTGGCTGACCTATCGAACTACACAGAAAGCCAAACGTTCTGGCTAGTATATCTCCTAATTGCCGAGTACAATCATCAATATGTGGGTGGGTTGAGTAAAAATAAATTACAGGAGCTAAATCGGATGACCACAACAAATACCTTAAAGAATCACGCACCCACTGTTGGGTATGTTAAAATTTCCAACCGGTCAGGTGTGAGAATATCTTCAGCACAGTAACCAACCAGAGGTGTGGCAGGGGTGTCGTTGGGCCGTTGTCGAGTAGCGAGGTAGAAACAAGCAAACAAAATAGCAACCCTTGTTGAGAAGCGATAGCAAACACGTTTTTACATTAGCACATACTCCCCTTTTAAGGTTTCTCGATAACGAACACGGTATCCAGCGCACCTAGTATAAGGTAGAAATTTGCCCAGATTCCGAGCTATAAGATAGAAGTCCACCAACTGTAATCTCCTGGCTGGAAAAACGGGGGGTCTTAAATGTTGAAAAAGGGTTGTGGGGTCTTATCATGCGGTGCGTCTGCATAATCTCCTCTCTACCACAGCGATTGAGGGAAATCTCTCACCTCGCATGAAATGGACGGGGAAGAAATGTGACACTTCGATGCTGCGAGTGTGGGGCTGAACCACAACGTCGTCGCCACCACTGGGAAATTTGTCAGCCGCGTACGATGGGGAGTGCATCTCGGCATCCTGTTCTACGAGTCCCTCACGTTGACGAGGTTTTGGGCAGACCAACAAAGGGGGGCGGTAACGGCTTACGCCCATGGGGATCGCAGTTTCGCCACTCCAGAAGACGAAGCAGCAACCAAGATCATTGAACAAGACTTACGTGACGAACACCCCTGTCCAAACCCGCTGCCTTGCGACGACGACGAAGCCCGCTGGATCCTTCGCAGGATACCCTGCGAAGCCCCTATTCTGCACCAGAAGACGACGACGACGACGACGACGGCGACGTACATGAGGTGACAACTGAGGGGCGACACAATACGACAGCATCGGGACCACAGCTACTTGGGCTTCACGCAACAACGACTACGACACCGCGAGTCATCGAGCCCAAAACACCACGACAGACCCTAACAGGACCCCACAGCAAATAGTGGCGGGCAGCCATGGATGCGGAGCTCAAAGTGCTCAGTCCCGTGACACTTGCAACCTTGTAGACCGTGCAACAGTAAAGGGGAGGAGAGTACTGTCAGGAAAGTGGGCATTCCGCATGAAAACGACCGCCGTCGGCTCAATCGAGCATTTCAAAGCACACTAGGTTGTGCGCGGTTGCGACCAACGCCACGAGATCGACTTCAATCAGACATTCGCACATGTGAGCCGCCATACCAGTGTGCGGATTCTACTAGCCATCGCTATCGTGAAGCACCTACCACTCCGATAGATCGGCGTTCAAAATGCAAATTGTACTGGTTAAAGCTTTGATTTTCGTGGAGCAGCCGCACACCTACAAAAAAAAAAAAAAAAAAAAAAAAAAAAACTTGTATGGCATTAAACAGGCCCCTCGACTGTGGCAACACAAAATCTTGTTCGATATCGGCTTCACACAATTGCCGCATGACCCTAGGATGTACCACCTGCGGAGAGTCAGTCTACAATAGTCGTGAGCTAGACTACGGGGTGTTGGCACGAACTCTAGGAGTGATCGTAACTTTACTTAGTTCCTTAGCACTTGCATATTCACTGGAGAAATCGGCAAGAGTTTCCACTAGGCAAAGATTGTATTACAGAATGATAGCAACGACAATGACAAGAATGACTACATTAGGCACCGAGTAACTCTGCAGCTATCCTGGTCGACCGACAGCACAGCATGGTCGACGGCCTGCCAACGTTGCGTAGAGGAGCCGCGCCAGCACTGCAGAAAGGCGACCTGCCAACGCAGCAGGTCGACGGCGTGCCAACGCTGCAGCGTAGCAGCTGTCCAGCGTTGCACCCGTAGAAGATAGCAGTGCGCATGTCCGCAGGTGCGCGCAGACAATTGGCCCGACTTGCACCGTTGTGCATCCGTCGGCCCTGGTCTGCGCCTGACAAGCCACATCGACTTCGGGATACCAGCCCAAAGTCGCCTTCGTCATCGCGACCTCGACGACGTTCGCCTGCCTTCGCATAACTCGCCGAGCAGGTTACCTGGTCGACCTGGTCGACCACCCAGTGCCCTGGTCGATGCCTCCCTCGTCGACCACAGCTCCCGTCGAGGAACACCTTGGTCGACGGACCCTGTCGTCGACCAGAACTGTCAGCTGCTGTCGCCGAGCTCCCCTCGTCGACTGCCGCTCACATGTCCTACGCAGGTCGACGGACTGCTCCGTCGACCTCCACTTCGAACTACTCCTCCTGGTCGACGGCCCGCCCGTCGACCAGCTTGGTCAGCTGCAGCCGTCGAGCTGCCCTGGTCGACGGATCCAGCCCCGCTACAGTCCTATGCAGGTCGACCACCACCTTGTTAAACTGCCCCACAGAAGAAGGCAGTCGAGCACCCTGGTCGACGGCACCACCACAGTGATCCCCTGCAGCTCGACGAAGCCCGTCGAGCAGCTCCCTCACTGTGTACGGTCGGCTGCTTCTCCCGTACATCCTACCAGGACGTCGGCGTCGCCCAAGCAAGGGCGGGGCCAACACTCCATTCCCGTTAACACTCCAATGCCGTGCTCACGCTTGGGCCCCCAGCCCACACGGCAGTACTCCACGGAGAAAACTCGTCCTCGGCGTGCACCCCACACACAGCACGCCGTCACCGCACCAGCCGTGCAGAAGGACACGTCACCTACTGCTCCACCTCGTTGTCACCGTCGCCGACGTCGGCCAGACGCACTTGGCCGATCGAGACAGAGCACCGGTTGAAGG